GTGGGCAGAAACAGGAATCAAGCAGATGTTCCTCTTTCCCGGCTCGCCAAGGCTATCCTGGTACATTTTAATTACGCGCAAGCCTGCAAACTCGCCCTGGGCTCCGGAGTTGGGTTGAATTGTAACTTCAGCCATACCGGTGATGTCGGCCAGCTGCTTCTCCAAGTCTTCGACCATGTTGACATAGCCCTCGACCTTCTGAGCAGGAGTAAACGGATGCATTGTCGAAAATTCGGGCCATGTGATGGGGACCATCTCAGTAGTGGCGTTCAATTTCATGGTACAAGAGCCAAGAGGGATCATCGAATGGGCGAGGGAAAGATCCTTTGAAACGAGGTGCTGCATGTATCGCAACATTTCCGTTTCTGAATGGTGTGTGTTGAACACGGGATGGGTGAGGTATGAAGAGGTTCTCCTAATGTCGACGGGCACTTCGACTGAGGGAATGTCTTTGCTAAGATCCAGAGTCTCAGCTCCCTTCTTGTCTGAAAGGTTTGCGAATACGGCGAGAAGCTGTTTCAGTTCGTCTACGCCGACAGCCTCATCAAGCGACATGCCAACCTTCGTGGGGCTCACACGTCGAAGGTACAGGCCGGCGCTAAGGGCTGATCCGACGATTGCATCCGCCTCAGCGCTGCTCTCTGTCTCCACAACCAGGGTATCAAAGCTGGCATTTCCCCTCACAGGCACGTTGAAGCCAAGGAGCTGCAACTTAGTACGGAGAAGAGCAGTCAACGCCATGATACGTTCAGCGATGGCCTTTAAGCCCTGAGGACCATGGTACACCGCATACATCGCGGTCATGTTGGCCAGGAGCGCCTGTGCCGTGCAGATATTGCTGGTGGCTTTTTCTCGGCGAATGTGCTGCTCACGAGTCTGAAGAGCCAGCCGCAGGGCACGGTTTCCAAGGCGATCTTTGGAAACACCAACGATGCGGCCAGGGATCTTACGCTTATACTTATCGGTGCAAGCGAAGAAAGCGGCGTGCGGGCCACCGAAACCCATAGGCACACCCAACCGCTGGGCGTTTCCGAATGCAATATCAGCGCCAAATTCCCCGGGGGCCTTCAGGACGGTCAAAGCCAAAAGGTCAGTGGCAACACAGAAGCTTCCGCCCTGTGCGTGGATGCTGTCGCTCAGGCTCTGGAAGTCAAAGACTCCTCCTTCGGTGTCAGGATACTGAGCTAGGACACCGATCAATCGATCTCCTTGGTCCTTGACCAGCTTGAAGTTGTCAGCCATGATGTCTCCAATCTCAAGTTTGATTCCGAATCCCTCGGCGCGGGATCTCATGACGGCAATGGTTTGAGGATGGCACAGGTTCGAGACAACGAAGACCTTTCCATCTTGCTTCTGTTTATTCATGGGGAGTGTGGCCCAGGACATGGTCATTGCTTCGGCGGCGGCGGTTCCTTCGTCGAGGACGGACGCATTGCCGACGGGAAGACCGGTCAGATCGGCGGTCAGGGTTTGGAAGTTGAGGAGGGATTCGAGGCGGCCCTGACTGATCTCGGCCTGGTAAGGGGTATAGCTGGTGTACCAGGCGGGGTTCTCGAGGACATTGCGCTGGATGACAGGTGGGATGACGGTTGAGTAGTATCCGCATCCGATGAACGATTTCCCCGTGGCATCGATTTTGTTCTTGTATGACTCCAGCAGCTTGACCATATCCTTCTCTCCTAGACCACCCAGGACGCCGTCCCTGCGAAGTTCCGCGGCGGCCTGCGGTTCTGAGACTGAAAGATTCTTGGCGGTCAGGATATCCGCCGGGAGCACCTGTTTCACGAACTCGTCCAGATTCTTCGCCGGAGGGTCCAGCACGGCGAGCATCTGCTCGGTGGCATCCGCACCGGGGCCAATGTGACGACGTGGGAAGGTGTCAAGGGGGGAGTGAAGGTCGCGGGGCAGGAGGTTTTCGGTGTCTCCGCTGGAGCTCAGGTGGACGGCTCGGCGGTGGGATTGGGTCTGCTGGTAACGCACCAGCTGCAGGCATTGCCTGCAGGCGGTGAGCGGCGACACACGGGAGGGCCTGAGTGAAGCATTGCGCAGCGAGCTGGAGGCCAGCTGGCGGGCCCCAAGTCGGACAACTGAGAACGGTGCTACCATTGTTGCAGGTCGGAGAATTTGCGTGCGAGTCTACTGCGGGGGGGGAGAGAGAGGCCAGTGACCGAGACTCGTCGTCTCGACACAGTCAGATTCGCCCCGAACAGCAATTGAATAACGAATGCAAAGTGCGACGGGTCAAAAAGAAAGACAATTGAAGCGGCGACAGGACGACAGCGAAGAGCAGTGCCACAAAAAAAAAAAAAAAAAATGAAAAAAGGAAAAAAAGAAAAGAGGCCGGGAGGAAGGGGAAGAAGAAGAATGAGGTTGCAGGGGGTCAGAGGGAGCGGGGAGTCTGCGAGGCGTGTGCAACTCGACCGCTGGCGTTAAGTTACCCAAAAATAAATTGCTGCCAAAAAAGTTCGTCCGCCCAGCGAAAGCCTGCGGCGAAAGCGGAGCGCAGCACGGCCTCCCATTGGCTGCGCGGCACAGGCACGCCTCGGCCGACAGCGGCTGGTCACGTGCGATAATGGCGGTCCAAAAGTGGATATTACATAAGCAATATTAGTGATTGCTGATTGGCTGGAACGGGGGGGATTTTGGAGCAACCGTGTTCGACAGGCTAAACCCAATAGAGGCTAGATCATGGCCGGTCTTGGTTATGTCATCCGATGAGAAGATTTTGTTGTTCTCCGACGGGCAACTCAAACTCCGGTTGGGCTCCGCCCGCTGGCTTCCCGGTGCCAAACAAGACTCCAAAGACATGTCTTGCTGCAGAATTGCGGTCCGCTGTAGCTTTAAGATGCCAGCATTTCTCCAAATCCCCCGTTCTCCGGACTTTGCCACAGAAATAACAGAAGCTGCTCGTCACCTGAGTTGTTTCTAAGTACACTATACAAAACTTGTCGACATATTTTACGGAGTACGGACTTTCAACGGGGAACTTTCAGCGGCGAGTCGCCCGGGCAACATGTTCGAAATGCCAGAGGCCTAAACCTGTCTCTGCTCAGTCATTGCCACATGTTGATCCTCCTCTCACCTCCTGTACTACAAGACTATGTCGATGGTCCGCGTCTTTTGCTTTTCGATGTGACAGCTCGTCTCCCAAGGCACTCGTATTCATACCAAAGGACAGGACATCGCGAGCTGCTTTCGCGCAACTGGAAGATGTCAGGAGAAGCATGGCCTTGCCCACTGCTGCAAGTGCTGAAGGGGACAGCAAGCAGCCCCGAAACATTGGACGAATGCTGCCAAAAAAAATACCTACCGGGCCAGAGCGTGAGATGGGGGACAAACATCTCTGGTGCGCTTAGTTCGTTTGCCAACGGGGCCCCTACACTACGTTTGGTATCTCCACACCAGAATGCGTCCCTGAGACATTTGTCTTTCAACACATAGCTCCCAAGGTTTCGGCACTTAAAAAAATTTTTTTTTTTTTCTTGGTTGGTTGGGTGGGGGGGAATATATGAAGGATGGAACTGGCACACCAAATACCACAAAGTTATTCGGAGAGCCGAGGTCTGTGCAGAATCCCCAGTAAGGTCCTGCAGCCACACAGACCGACCTGTGTGCATACAGGCGTCTCCCTTGCGTCTCCACATCATGATCGTTGCAAGTGCATAGAGAATACGGAGTAGAGTTTACGACGATCGAAAATAAGCCCTGTCCAATTGAAAACTGGGTACGGTGAATTTGAGCCATTATGTGCTTGAGAGCTGCGAGTGAAGTAAAATGGGAGAGCCGCCCATTCAACCTTGATGGCCCAAAAAAAAAAAAGAAAGAAAAAAGAAAAAAGAGTGGACAGGAACATTCATGCGCAAACTAACAGAAATGTTCCAGACCTTAGTATAGCAGCCACCTCCGTCCACCAAATTCGCATACTTTGAATACCTTTTTAAGACTATGGATTGATCTACGGCTGAATTGCAGTACAAACCGATCTAGCCAAATTGCTCGACGCATCATCGGTCGGATTGCCAACACGCAAGAGTCGCCAGGAAAGTCGTTCAGTTCAGTTTCCTTTCCTTTTTTCTGATTTTTATTTTATTTTTATTTTTAATTCCGCGTTCTCGACAAGCCGTCTGTCAGCGAGTGCGGAAATCGTGACAGCGGGCCTTTATTGATCCGACGACCGGGCTTCTGTGTTAGGTAATCCAACCAGCACCTCGCTCACGTGACCCACATAGATTAGCCGAGATTCCCCTTTAGGTAGCTTAGTGAATAACAAGCATACAAGTCCTCCATCAGGTTATAGCCCTTTGCGCTGAAGAGCAAGCGTATAAGGTTGATTTACAGCTCAATTGGATATTGAAGCTTACGATCAACATCCTGAACGGTTATCCTTGTGGATAACAAGGTTTTACAAGCACAAGAGAGAGCGTACATTGAGATAGACGCCTCCTATACATGCAACCCCTGTAGCTTTCTAGCACCGAGCTGGGGAGCAAGTTGAACCCTGTAGCTTTCTGGCACGCGACCAGAGAGTGAGCAAAACACCTGGTAAACACACCTAGCAAGCAAGTCGAACACCTGGCAACGCCAAAGCCATGGTGAACCGTACGGACGGACTGGAGCACCGAACTCCTGACCGGGAGGCTCCAACAAACCTCCCTACACCCCAAACCAAGCTTAGGCGGTCGAGTAGGCTCAGAGGCAGCCCGCCAAACAACGAGCAGGAGCCTAGGGAGGAGAGTGAACTCCAAATGTTGCGCAGAATGATGCTGAATCAACAGGAGATGATGCAAAAGCAACAGGAGTCAATGCAAAGGCAACAGAAGAGAGTACAACAGCTGGCACAGCAAGTGAACCTCCTATCAGGCCAAGCAAGCACCGCAAACGCACCTGCAACAATGCAGGAGAACCTAGAGCACAAAGCTCAACAAGAAGAAGAAGAGGACTGAGAAATAGACTCTGATGAGGAACTAGAAGAATATGTCAGCAACCTTATAGACACAAATATGCGAATCGGCAGAGCAATCACCCAATTCACAAAGATCATGAAGACAGTGAAGAAGCCTATGACCCTGGCTGGAGCCAGCAACTACCTAGCATGGAGCAAAGCCATCCTAAAGGTAGCCCGCCAAGTAGGTGTTGAGAAGATTATCCTGGAAAGGCAAGAGACTTCACCACGGCCAGAGCACTTGAAGATTTCACAATACTGGAATGTTCAGAATAATTGGCTACACAGCCTAATCAACAGTACAATATCTGCACAAGCCAGAGAGCACTTCAAGGAATCAGATAGCCTTAGTGCTTACAAACTCTGGGAAGCTGTAAGGACAGCCTTCCAAGAGAGACCTGAGATACAGCGGGAAAGCCTACTTACAGAGTTAGTAAGAATGACACCACAATCCGCTGGCTCAGAAAGGAATTATATAGAGAGATTCCTAGCAATCCGTGGGGAATTTGAGAGATTAGGGTTCAAACAACTTGACCACACCCTACATGATATCTTGAAGATGAACATTACGTCCCGATGGAGAGAGTTCATACAGAACCGATTTGATATGGCATGCCAGAGCGGAACAAACCTACCGGAGAAGGATCTGGAAGGCCTACTGAAGGATATCCTCCACCGAATCCCCAAGAAAGACCAGAAGAAAGGCGGATCTACAAAGCCAAATACAAATGCAACAAGCTCGGATCCCCAAAAGTCTTACAAAAATATGAACGGAGCTCCAATATCGTGGAGATCACAGCGCCAGACGTCCGTCTCGAAATCAACGACCGAAGCGGAGTATTTGGCAGCTAGCGAAGCTGCTTGTGAACTAGTTTGGATCAACGACCTGTTGATAGACACCGGGGTGATTAGCGAAGGCTCAGCAAAGCTAAGGAGCTCAAAATTAAGTGTTGACAACAAGGGAGCGGTTGACTTAGCCAAAGCTGAAGCTATAACGCGAAGAGCACGCCATATTGAGATTCGGCACCATATGCTAAGAGACTGGGTTCAAAAGGACGAAATCTCAATCGAGCACGTTGGAACCGACGCGAATAAAGCTGACGGGCTCACGAAGGCTCTTGCAATGGATCCCTACGCTCAATTCGTGAGCGCGATAGGGGTGACGAGTTGATACAGGAAAATATGGAGGTTTATCAGTGAAGCCAGCAAAAATACGGTATCGCGGCGAAACGGAGCTAAGCCTAAAGAAGGAATAAATCTGGATTCTGTAATTAATTTTTATCGCGGATTTGAGAGATTTGGAAGCTTTGGATCTTTGTGGCTCTCGCTCGCTGCTGGAGCTCGTTGCATGGGGGGGTGTTAGGTAATCCAACCAGCACCTCGCTCACGTGACCCACATAGATTAGCCGAGATTCCCCTTTAGGTAGCTTAGTGAATAACAAGCATACAAGTCCTCCATCATTCTGGAACAACTCAAAGTGCCGATCCCGCGGTCCCGACTGTTGGTTCGCTCCAGGGCCTCCGATAATCGGGCCGTCCGGCTGAAGGCGGGGAAAAGAAGCAGGGCTTGGACGAAACGCCCTTTGAATCAAGACCTGCAAGCTTCATCCGGAGCGATTTTTGTCGTGGATAGAAAAAAAAGCTGTTTCGTGCTTGTCTTCTGTTCAAAAAGATTTGAGCTATTTTTTTTATTTTTATTTTTTTTTATTTTTTTTGATTCAAATGATAATGCTTCTTTACGTGTTACAATAAATATTTTGCATGCTTCGTCCAAACATCCTGCCCCGGAGCATCCGTCATCGGCTTTTTAGACACTCGTCTCCTTACCGTTTATTTAGCAGCACGCGCTGTGTGTTCAACATGGACGCAGAACAGTTCCGGCAGGCTGCCCAGTCAGCCATTGAAGAAAGTGAGTAGTATCTCCCGCCAAGTTGAACGGACAAGGTGGAAAAAAGGCCGCTGACCCGGTGGTTGTCATTCAGTAATCGAACATTTCAATACCCTCCCCTCCCGCCGGGTTCTTCCAAACATTGAACCGGGATACCTCCGCCCACTTCTTCCGCAGTCCCCCCCGAAAGAACCTGAATCATGGGAACAGATACGGCTGGATATCGAATCCAAAATTAAGCCTGGCCTGACGCACTGGCAGTCCCCGCACTTCATGGCCTTCTTTCCGGCTCTGGTGACTTACCCTAGTATCCTGGGCGAAATGTATTCCGCAGCGTTCAGCGCCCCCGCTTTCAACTGGCTATGCTCTCCCGCCTGCACAGAGCTGGAGATCGTGGTGTTGGATTGGGTCGCGCAGGCCATTGGACTGCCAGAATGCTTCCACAGCACTGGCCCAACCAAGGGCGGTGGTGTCATTCAGGGTAGCGCGAGCGAGGCCGTTGTCACAGTCATGGTCGCCGCGAGGGAGCGGATGCTTCGCGATCTCGCTGCCGCCGAGGGACTGAAGGAAGACACCCCCGAATGGGAGGATAAAGTTATGTCTATCCGCGGCAACCTCGTCGCGCTTGGTAGCGACCAGGCACATAGCTGCACCGCAAAAGGCGCTCGTATCGTCGGCACCCGCTACCGTTCCGTCCCCACGGCGCTTTCGGACAACTTTGAAGTGACCGGAGCCTCGCTGCGCAAGGTCCTCGAAGAATGTGAAGCTGCCGGGCTGGTCCCCTATTATCTCACCACCACCCTCGGAACGACTAGCACATGTGCCACTGACCGTTTCGCCGAGATCAAAGCCGTTCTCGCGTCCAAACCTTCCTGGCAAAAGATATGGGTACACATCGACGCAGCCTACGCCGGAGCCGCGCTCGTGACGCCAGAATACCAGCCAATCGCACGTGAATGGGATTCCGGCATCGACAGCTTCAACTTCAACATGCACAAATGGCTCCTCGTCAATTTCGACGCCAGCTGCCTATTCGTCCGCAACAGGACCGACGTCACTTCCGCCATGGACATCACGCCCGCATACCTACGCAACCCTTACTCCGAGCTCCCGGACACCGTCGATTTTCGAAACTGGCAGATCCCGCTGGGCCGACGGTTCCGCGCCCTGAAGATCTGGTTCGTCATGCGCGCATATGGGCTGTCCGGGATGAGGGCGTTTATCTACAAGGGCTTACATCACGGCGATGTCTTTGTGGAGATGTGCCGCGGCAGGAAGGATTTGTTCACAATAGTCACGCCACCGGCGTTCGGGCTGACTGTCTTCCGCGTCACGGATGAAGCGGCGGCGGCGGCGTGTGGAAGTACCAGTGCGGCGATTACGCGTGAGGTCTATGAAAAGATCAACGCGGGCGGTGAGATATTCATCACGTCTTCGGTGGTTGGAGGGATATATGTGATTCGCGTCGTGAGCGGGTCATGGTTGTCGGAAGAGAAGTATGTGCGGAGGGCGTTCGATATCATCGCAAAGACAACAGAGGAGACTCTCGCCGGAAAGAAGACCAACGGGGTCGAGACTCTGAGAAATTGAGCTAGAAGTCCCGAGAGGCTTTTGGGGGTCCTGGCTTCTCTTTCTTCTAGCCCGATTTGGCCGTGTGAATTTCTTTTTTTCTTTTTTTTTTTTGGGGGGGGGGGGGGGGGGGGSGTGTACGGAGTACTCCGTACTCCATATGGAGGCTGGAGTTGACGGGATTTGGCTTCTGTGATTGGATGTAAATGTACGCCTCATATCTGTATGCAGGATATATACTCCGTACACATAGCACGTACTCCGTATAGCTCCCTTTGGGGGAAAATAAAGAGAAAAAAAATAAAATTGAAAAAGGAAATTAATTGAATCCCTCGAAGCTTTGGCTTAGACGCTTTGGTGCTACTTGATGTGTTGAATCGACGTTACTGCATGACTTGTCAGTTCGACCCGTATTCTTGTGATAATTGCCAAAAGTTGCTTTGCAGCTTTGATTCAATCCAGAGCTGGGAGCAAAATATCGTCAAGGGTACATGAACAAGCAGCAGCTTATTGATGAAGGGCGCTATGCAATTTCATTCGAGCCAGACGGGTAGGGAATCAAGCTTTGGATGATCGCCAGCCGGCCCAGACCCGCGACAATCAAGGATTGACGATCGGTAGATCGCTTGTGTCGACTCTCCCATCTCCTGAATAATGGAGGCGCTGTTATGTACTCTGTACTCTGTATGTACGCAAGACATGTGTGCATGTCCACGGAACAAAGACTCGGCTAGAAAACCTCTGCAGATGCGAGAAAAGACGACAATATTGATTACAATTCAACCCGAATCTCTGAGCCGTTTTCTTGGTTCTTCAGGGCCAATCAAGGTTCTATCAAGGGTCTGAGCCTCATCCCTGTTGAAGGATGCGCACCCGTGAAAATCAGATATGAAATACGTGGAGAACCTTGAGATCCCGTGCCTTCCCAGAATCCTTGGCTTTTATTCAACAATGCAGTTGCATTTGACTCGCAGATGGCGTCACAATGCGCGATATAGACATGGTCATTGTTGGGAGGATGCCACTGTATCGAGCTTTTGTTCGAGTGGGCTCGACCATTAACCGATCAACAAAAATGAAATGGCGCGGCACAACTTTCTTCAATAGCGACAAGTGTGTCCCAGTGATGATGCTTCGAGAACTCCAACTGAAACCGGTGCTGATTTTTTCATTACAAAGACGCAAAAGGTACTCATGGATGTCCGTGTCAGAGCTTGGTCGCTTTCCCTGGTCATTGCGACTTGGGTCTCCACATTGTCGAATGTTTGTCATATTAAGTTTCACTGGTGTCAAAAGCCAGGAACAAAGGGAAAGGTTGCAAGCCGTGCCCAGGTCTCCCGCCTCGCTAACCGAACAATGCGAGCGATAGATATTGAGCGCATGTCTGCAACATGCCTTTTGAAGATTGACCTTGACCCCACAGAGCGGCTAACCTCGCCCTTACCCCAGGGTACCCACGTGGAGCCTATGTAGAAATTTCGAGTCCTTGGGCAGGGACATGGTCTCCTGCCGATGTGTGAATCGAAGGCGCTGGTTCGCGGGATGGGAGCGCGCTTTGGGGCCCTTGAAACGCTGGTCGAATAGGCGAGGTACGATACTCCAAGCATCCATCTGACCGTCAGTCCTGGTGAGACTCGAGTGCAACACCAGAGGAAAGGCATTCTGCATGATTGATTCAAACAAAAAATAAAAAAGAATAAAAAATATTGAGCCAGCGAATCATTGCTCGTTTGCGGATATGCTACTCCGCAGCGACTCCCGGATATGACTATATCCTTTTTTTTTCCGTGGGACAGTGGCTTAAGGTAGGAACCGGGAGTCGGCCAATGAACTGCGCCGCCTGAAGCTATCAAATGTGATATCAACATGTGTAACTATATTTTGTGTTTCCTGATTCCCTCTACGGAGTACGGAGTAGCGAGTACTCCGTACAATTCAACATACATATCGGGTTGCTTTAGCGCCAAAAGCATCCTGCAGGCTACCTTTCTTCCCAACAGGGAGGGATGTCAAGTCGAATGCGGTGTAGGTTTTGAAGTTGGGCCCACCCGTTATCGCAGGATGAAGATAGACGAGGTTGTAGCACGCGTGAGACCTGCCTTGGCGGTAGAAATCCGAGTAACTCCGGAGTACCCTATGTGCAAATTATGGCGCCTCTGTGAGACGCTGAGAGTTCACTTTTACGAGTAGCACCGTTTGGGTTCACGAAGACAGCTGGCCCCATAACCCACTCCGAACAGGATGTATATTTTACTCCGTCCCTGGACATGAAAGGGATTGCGGCCAAAGGACAAAGCAGGGAGGACATCCGGGCCTGGGGCCAGAAGTTACGCAGCCAAACGCGGAGCAAGGGGACGGAGAAAGGAGGGATCAGCGACGCAGCCGGCGCCCTTTTTTGCCCAGTCTTCCGTCGCCGCCACGGAGGACTTGCAGAGTGTGTCTTGCAGGCGCAAAAATCCAAAGCTTTCAACCCAAGGTTCAGGGGCCCAACCGGACGAACCGGCAGACCTCAGACAAGGAGCGGGTTGCAGCCACTCAACGCACGCGAACGCCAGCCACGGGGGCTGGGGGGGGGGACTCCGCGCTAGGCTGCTTCAGGACTAGTCAGGTTACATTTAATTTTGGAAACACGCCAAGACTTCTCCTAGGAGGGAAGGGGCAATGCTTCACTCGCACGTGACTGGAGAGGCTGAATTAGGCCAGCGTGTCCTTTAAAAGGGAAGGCGCGCCCCCCCTTCCCAGCCCAGCGAGCGTCTTTTTCGCACAAGCAACCGGGGAAAAGAACAAGCTGGCCTCTCTTTTGTCGCCCTTCCGGCAACCCGATTGTTGCCTCCCGCTCTCACTGCCGGCGATCCCCCCGCCAGCCCGCCATGCCCTGCCCGCCCCCGTAGTGCCACCGTGTCCTTGACACCACCGCCTGACTTTGATCGCTCTGCCCTCTCTGTTGTTCTCGAGCATTCGACTTCGCTCTCCCTCCCACTGCGAGTGTGACAGTCTCACACTCACACACGCACACATACACAGTATTCCACGATCGAAGGTATATTCCCTCTTTTCGTGGCAAACAATACCCCACAGTCATGGATTCTACGTTTTCTACCACCTTCGACTCGATATCTTTCGCCTCTGGGGCCGATGTTCCTCAGCTCACAATCTCTCCGGCCGAAACTACCTTGAAACTCGACGATTTAACGCCGGAGCCCAAGGAGCAGCCGCCCAAGCCAGAGGAAAAGAAGCCTGTCAAAAAGAGAAAGTCATGGGGTCAAGAGCTGCCCATCCCCAAGACCAATCTGCCACCAAGGTATGCCGTGATCTACGTATGACCGGCGAGATGGTGAATCTGTGCTAACTAACAGGCGACAGGAAACGGGCCAAGACCGAAGATGAGAAGGAGCAGCGCAGAATCGAGCGCGTTCTCCGCAACCGAGCCGCCGCCCAGATCTCAAGGGAACGCAAGAGACTGGAGATCGAGAAGCTGGAAACCGAGAAGGCCAAGATGGAACAGCAGAATCGATTCCTCCTCCAACGCCTGGCGCAGATGGAAGCGGAGAACAACCGCCTGAGCCAACAGGTCGCCAAACTATCGACCGAAATCCGCAGCTCCCGCGGTGCTTCCCCACAGTCCGTATCGGCACCTTCCCCCACCCTCGCTCCCGTCCTCTTCAAACAGGAAGACGACGAGCTACCCCTTGAAAAAGTCCCAATCGCCTCCCCGCCCACCACCATCTACTCCCCCAGCGCGGCCGTCATCGATTCGATAGATGCCTCCGATCTGACACAACATCCTGCAGCGATGTTGTGCGACCTGCAGTGTCAATCGGAGGAATCGAAGAATCTGACGGTCTCTCTCAATCAATATTCGACTCCGCATCCGACCTTTGCTCTGATGCTCCAGGTCATCATGCAGCACCTCTTTCTGATGATGACTTCCGCCGCCTATTCGACGGTGATTCTTCCGCTAAGCCAGATCTTTCATTCCTTGAAGAAGGGTTCTCCTTTGACCTTTTCCCAGGAGGAGATCTGTCAACACTTGCCTTTGATTCTATGGTTGATTTCGACCCCGACCCTGTCAAAGTCGAACACCTCGATCCAGCGATCGGTCTTCCGGATCCAGCTTCTCACCCGACTCCTAGCGTGCAGCCCAGCTTTGGCGCGTCCACTAAGAGATGCGACGAGCAGGGCATTGCAGCTGGCAGTGCGTGATTTGCCACGATCCACTAGCAATCGATCAATGGTCCAAGGTGGCCGGCCTAGCCAGGATTGGGAGTTGTTGATGACTACGGTCTGGGCAATTGATCGAATCGGAAGATCGCATGGCTACCACTATTCTAAACCGTCCCGAGCATTGCACCGAGCAGCTCGATCGGCACATCATGCCAGGGCGAAACAATTATTTCTACGTCGTTCGCGGAGTTCCAGGAGTACGGTGGACTACGATGGGTATAGCCATTTCTAGCGTTATTTGTATCATTGAGCCCCTTTTTTTCGGAGGATTGGTTGCCTTCTTGATGTCTACCCTTTTGTGCCATTCAATGTACATGTAATTTTTAGATTCATTTGAATTCAAGTTTTACGTCTCAGACCCTATTTATTCTCTTGTCTATAAGTTGTGCTCTTCGTAGTTACTCGGTCCATGCATCTGAACTCCGTCTGTTCTCCCGCCAAGCACTTGTGTGCCCATACCGGAAAAATGAGATTTCTGGGCAACCTTCGGGAAACGTTTATCCGACAACCACCAGTTTCTCAACTGAGAACTGTAGATCTACAGTATAGCAACCATTTCTTCTCATATATGTATAAAGGGTCTGAAACATATAAAATTTGGAATGTATCATGCACCAGCTGAGGTTTTTGATCAGGCTTCCTAACTAAATATGGTATAGCTTTGAAAATCTTTCAAGATCAAAGGGCTTTGTTTGTTCTTTCATGTTGATTTTTCCTTCCAAAATCAACCAACCTACCAATCAACCACCCTACCTAGCTGCTGAGATTTGCTAAGTTGATTACCTAGTTAGATTGATTATTGATGGATTTGCTGATGGTTTTGTTGATAGATTCATCCCTTCGATCTTCAGACCCTACACGTTCGTTGAATCAATTCCTAGATTCCTAGGATCCTACATGCTCGTTGAATCAGTTCCTAGATCCCTAGGATCCTACATGCTTGTTGAATCAATTTCTAGATTCCTAGGATCCTACATGCTCGTTGAATTGATTCCTAGACCCCTAGGAATCCTACAAGTTCATTGAATCGATTCCTAGATTCCTAGGATCCTACATGCTCGTTGAATCAGTTCCTAGATCCCTAGGATCCTACAAGTTTGTTGAATTGATTCCTAGATTCCTAGGATCCTACATGCTTGTTGAATCGATTCCTAGACCCCTAGGAATCCTACATGCTCGTTGAATTGATTCCTAGACCCCTAGGAATCCTACAAGTTCATTGAATCGATTCCTAGATTCCTAGGATCCTACATGCTCGTTGAATCAGTTCCTAGACCCCTAGGATCCTACATGCTCGTTGAATTGATTCCTAGACCCCTAGGAATCCTACAAGTTCATTGAATCGATTCCTAGATTCCTAGGATCCTACATGCTCGTTGAATCAGTTCCTAGACCCCTAGGATCCTACATGCTCGTTGAATTGATTCCTAGACCCATAGGAATCCTACAAGTTCATTGAATCGATTCCTAGATTCCTAGGATCCTACATGCTCGTTGAATCAGTTCCTAGACCCCTAGGAATCCTACATGCTTGTTGAATCATTTTTAGATCAATTTTTGTACATAGTGAATTTGCAAATAGTCATGTAATATACTCTGTAATCCACTCTGTAATCCACTCTAATCCACTTGTAATGGTTGATAAACCAAAAGTAGTGCGCGGAATGTTTCCAAGCTGGAAATGTAGATAAAAATATACTAAGGTTCTACGGTTTCCATGGATATATATTGATCCCAAAATCCACGTATCGGAACCGGTGGATCTACGGTTTCCGAATCCCCCCAAAATCCGCTATGGGCCATATACCCAACCACGTGATGCCAAGAAGCGCATCATGACGCACTGGGCGGAATCAGGCGCCTTTCTAAACTTCACACCCGCTGTGCGGGCATTTCCAAGTCGTTCTTTTCTTCCACATTGCTGTATTGCGGATAGTCGTCAAGCCTCACGTACACTTTCACCCCGACACTGAGTTCATCCGCATCTCCTCTTTAAGCGCCAAACTTAAAATGGGCCCTCGAGATCCCCTCCTCGAGGCTATGGCCGAAGTTAAGGTATGTGCTCCTCGACGTACAAACGTGTTTCTCAAGTTCAAGATTCATTTCGATGAGCTGTCGCTCCGTTATTCTCTTGGATACGTTAGCGCAGCTCTCTTGTGAAGAAAACCCTGTTTCATTCTGTTCCATCATTTTCTTTCTCCTTCCCCCCCCCCCCGCGGGCCCGGGACCTAATCTAACCGCTCAAATCGGATTTTAAGGTCAATGCCAACCAACTCCGCAAACAAGCCACCAAAGCCGAATCCATGTCGCGTGCCCAAGAAGACAAGGCCACCAAGGCCATGAAAAAAGGCCAGTTCCAAATCTCGCGCATCCACGCTGGCTCCGCGATCCGCGAAAAGCGCCGCTCCATCACGTTGCTCTCCAAGGCCGCCGAGGCAGACGTGATATATTCCGATCTCGCGGCGGCCAAATCGACGCGGGACTCGACGCGGTCGCTGATGAAAGCGTCCAAGGCGCTGGATTCGGCGAGCAGAAGCATCAATCTCGAGAGAACGCTGGCGATCGCTAACGCGTTCGTGTCGAGGTCGGAGGATTTTAAGCTGGCGGGCTCTGCGCTGGAGGGGGTGTCGAGGGACGTGCAGATGGCGGAGTACGGGGCGGAGGGCGCCGAAGATGAGGTTGATAAGTTGATGGAGAGGTTGGCGGATAATGCTGGAGTGGATTTGAGGCAGAATTTGGAGGAGAATGCCGCGCCGAGCGATGAGATTGGCGTCAAGGCGGGGAAGCAGAAGGAACCGGATTTCGAGGATGGGTTGGCGGGCAGGCTGAGAGCGCTGAGATCATAGATTGTGACTCCCTTTTTGGTCTTCTTCTTTCTTGGAATTTCGCTGCATGCTCCTGCGCCCGCCCAGCTCCACTCCGCTGGGATAGATTGATGGGTGACGATGGATACGTCTTTCCCTTGTTTGTGATTTCTTCTTGTGTCTTCAGGTGTCCCGGGATGGCGTTTTGGGGGGAGGGTTCTGTGTAGATTGGGGCTTCGAACAATACACTATAATATCTCTACCTAGCCCTGATTAGTTTGCCCATCGGGTTCGCCGTTTATATCTCTCGTCAGCTCTAGGGCTGTGGACACAGCCAAATGAGCTCCAGATCCACCCGGCTCTTGCTGGTCTTGCCCCGCCACTTGCAGCTGACCCTCCATTGGCGGTCTGCTGCTCTGCTCTTTTGTGGCTTCTGGCCCCACACGGCTGTTGTCTTCAAGCACAGACCCCAGCATAGGTTCATCGTCATCCTGAATATTCTCCTGTACTTCCGGCTGATCGTCCCCCTTTACTGATGTTTGATTCTCTTTCTGCTCCTTATTATGTACTAGCGCGGCGTTATGGCAGTCTTTTATCGTGATACACTGTCCGCCAGCAGCGGTTAAAATTTCCCGATTCTTTAGCAGCACCCTTTTCACCTCGGTGGGTCTGTATCCTTTGCCGATTTCGTTGCCAATCGCAAGCCTAACGGCGGAGTTGCGTTTGATCTGATCCATCTCGTCCATTGAATGGCAGTGCTGATTGCATGTTCCGTGATTTGAGATCTCGACGGTGCCATCCCTCCAGAAGCGTTTCCGGAGCTTCATCTCGCATCCCACAGCGCTGCGAATGGAGCATTTTCGCTTTCGTAGTTCGGGGGGAACGGCGGATCTAGAAAATAGCGCGTAATCAGCATCGTTGTTCAGTAGCCGTTAAAAGCAATTAGCAGATAAACCAACTTTTGGTCCTGCTTCCTGAACAATCGGCACCAGTAATACTCTGTCCTACAATCTGCAGAGTCTTTGACTTTGTTCCGCACCCAGAAGTTGTCCATGAACGGCCAGTATATCTCATGTTCGTAATGGGATTGGATTATTGGTGTCCCTAGAAGGAAAAATCGCCGTCTCATCTCTCCGATATTGTCCGGCGCATTGAGAATGTTATTGAATAGCGGTCTCACGGGGAACGGAATGGGAAGCATAAGATATCCGGGTGGCGGGTTTGGAGGTGGTGTGGGGTGCACATTCGGAGGATGGGCTTGTACGTGCATTGCGGGAGTATGATTCAAATTGGTGGGATGGTGGTACACCGGAGAAGGCCCTTGGGGCGGAGGAATCGCGGAAGTAATCTTGGGTGGAGGATGATGTGGTGGGTTAGAATGTGGATGAGGCGGTAGACTTGGAGGAGGGTGAGCAGGCGCGCGGTGCGGGTACGTCATGCTGCAGGAGCGTAGGTATGAATATAATCAGGAGATGAAAAGAGGAGTACCCGTGTCTGCGGGCTCCAATCGTGGATTCACCCAAAGCTATGAACCTCTTCTTCGGAGCTTTTCACGATGGAAAATCGTTTGGCTGAGTTTTAGAGCCCGCTCTGCGGAACTGACTAAACTGTAGATCACATGACGTCGGCAAGCATTCCAAAGGGTTTCCCGTCTCGTTCGGTCGGTCTGTATATTCTCATGACAGGTGGACATTCACCCGGTCCTTCTCTCGCTGCAGCGGCATAAATGTCCCTTCTACGGGAAGCGGAAAGATGTCTTGTTAACCGAAAGGCCTTTGCGAGCCTCAATGCCTTCGTAACGCCGCTCGATCGAGTCGGATCATGGATTGAACGTGTGAAAGACGCCGATGCTCGGCGGAAGCGAGGTGCGAAGCTATGGCAGATCAGGGCGGTGATAATGAGCTTAATATTTATTTTTGGAGGTTATAGGCGCGCCGAAGTCATCATTAGACGGAAAACTCATCGCCATTAAAGATAACATCTGCACTCGTGATGTTCGAACGACATGTGCCTCTGCGATCCTCGAAAACTTCACGAGCCCGTTCAATGCCACAGTGGTGGAGCTTCTAGAGGAATCTGGTGCTATTGTTGCCGGGAAAACTAATCTGGATGAGTTTGGAATGGGGTATGCCGCTACACCCTGCTTCGGCACGATGTGCAATGGTTGATGGAATTTCAGGTCACACTCTACATACTCTCATTTTGGGCCAGTGAAAGGGGTTCGTGCGGATGACTTGGGCTATGTATCCGCGGGTGGGAGCTCTGGAGGTAGTGCGATTGCTGTAGCTACCGAACAGTGTTACGCGTATGTCCGGCTCCTGCCTCTCTATGTTCCACCGTTGCTAAATCCTTGCTAGAGCACTAGGAACTGATACGGGGGGTTCTGTTCGCTTGCCAGCTGCTTATACGGGAACTGTTGGTTTCAAGCCCTCATATGGGTTATTATCGAGGTGGGGAGTGGTGGCGTATGCAAATTCCCTTGATACGGTTGGGATAATTGGAGCAAATACCTCCACGGTTAGTGAAGTTTTCGGTAAGGTTCAAATATACAACTATTTTCTACTATTCTCTCTAATGTATGCGATAGGAGTGTTAAATCGCTATGACCATCGAGATCCAACCAGCATCTCCAAGGCTACTCGTTCTCGTATCGACGAAATAACTGGGAGTACCTCGAAAACGCGGAGCGAAAGATTGCGCATTGGCGTTCCCATAGAGTATAATATTCTCGAACTAGACCCTTTTGTTCGCGAAACGTGGCGTAAATCGATCCAGCATCTGAAAAATCAAGGTCACACCGTTCATCCCGTTTCTCTTCCCGCAACAAAACAAGCATTGTCCGCATACTACGTGCTCGCGCCAGCTGAAGCATCTTCTAACCTTGCCAAATACGACGGTGTCCGCTATGGTACCCGTGACCTTGATTCCCCGGATAATACAGGAGGATATCTTTACGCAAGGAGCCGCGGTTCAGGTTTCGGACCCGAGGTTAAGCGACGCATCGTTCTAGGCGCGTTTTCTCTCAGCGCTGAAGCGATAGATAACTACTTTATCCAAGCCCAAAAGGTCCGGCGACTAGTCCAATCGGACTTCAATAAAGTGTTCCGTCTTCACAATCCATTGCTCCAGGCAACCCTTACGTCTCACCCTAAAGCCCTGGAATCCGACGGCGATACGGCTGAGAAGGTAGATGTTCTTGTCTGCCCGACTGCTCCGTCACCTCCTCCTCTCCTATGCTCCCTGGAGAATGCTGCGCCGACTGAAGCGTACACCAACGATGTCTTTACCGTCCCGGCTAGCTTGGCAGGTCTTCCTGCTTTGAGTGTCCCTGTTACTCCTGGAGATCGTGAGCAGGAGAGTCCTCTCGGTATACAGGTCATTGGGCAGTTTGGAGATGACCAGCTAGTCTTGGATGTTGGGAGCAGACTCGAGAAGATGAATATACAATAGGACGGTACAGGTTACTCCGTCCTAGTATGTAGTTATAGATCCATTCCTGTGTAAAATAGTAAGCGACATAATGTTTCAAGCGTGTTGGCACTTCATAAGGCTAGAAGCAGCCTGCTTTTGTAATTTCCGCTTTCATTATCAACATCATTTCAAATTCACTTTTACTTACCTAGCCTCAATAAATGCATTGAAATTACAAAAAAGTTGTTTGGCAATGCTGCTACGGAGTACGGAGTAGTCCGTGCAATGTCCGTGCTTGGGAGGTAGAGCTAACCAGTTATCTTATCAGGCGCGATAACAAAAGGACGAACTGCTCAACCCTCATATCTTGCTTCGAGCTGCATTTAGCCATGCGTGGCCCCGAACTGATCTGCTAATCTCTACTGCCTTAATCTAAATCATTGAACATGGCAACTAGCACTGCACCCACCAATGGAAAAGGTAAACGATCCAAACGCGACGGTGGCGGCCGCGAGAAACGCGGCGCAAAGAGACAGGAGCTGGACGATGGCAGCCTTTCTTACAGCAAGAAGGTGACCTCGTCGGCTTCCAGCACAGCAATTCCATCGTCTGAACTATCGATGTCCATGCCCATTCCACTAGCAGACCCACGATCAATTGACGTATTGCCCCCAAGACCGCGACAGCTGAACCCCGTCTTCACCAGGCATTCCGACGTGCTAAAGCAGTCCTGGCCTTTCTTCGAGGTTGCAGACAAGTGAGTACCAGAGTTTTAGCGAGGAGTACTTAATATGCTAAGGGAACTATTCGACTAACATATTTTTTCCTCGTCCAGAGTGAGCAACCGGAACGGGTTTAGATACACTTACGCGGTCGCGGACCCTGGATTCCCACATATCCTCTACCGCCAGACCGATGTCCCTCCATATCACTCGAGATTCAGCTTTGAAGACTCTCCTTCATCAATTGCATTTACAAAAAGTGGGTTAGCGGTTAGCACAAACGACCCGTGGCATTCAGCCCGCGCCAATATTTGCGCGCGTGAAGGCACTTATTACTACGAAGCTCGGGTTATTAGCGGTATTGTCCCGAGTAAAAATGCTCTTCCCGGTCCGTCGCCTCGGGGTAACGTAAGGCTGGGGTTTGCGCGTCGGGAGGCAGACTTAGATGTCAACGTTGGCGTGGATTGCTACGGATACGGAATCCGGGACGTTAACGGCGAGGTTGTGAACCGCATGAGATGCGAGTATTTCTTTCCTAAGGATGAAGCTATAAATGAAGGAGACGTGATAGGAATGCTAATCACACTGCCACCGCTGGGCCTACACAAGAAAGTCGTGGCCGGAACGTATGACCCGGCAGTGGACGGCGACGGATCTGATCCTTCATCACACAGCAATTGCGCATCCCAACCAGCCTCCATCAATTTTATTCGGGATCGCATACCTTTCCACCTGAAATCAGACTTCCTTTACCAACAAAGTCACATCTTCCCGTCCAAACACCTCCGAGACTATGCTTTTAACCTCAAAGAAACACCAACATACGGCCCACCATCACCCGGAAACGCAGAGGACCCTTCTCTACGCACTCTTCCCGGATCTAGCATAACAATTTACAAGAATGGAGTCCGAATGGGTACTCCGTTCACTAACCTCTATGCCTTCCTCCCACCGGCTTCACGCGCCACCCAGCTATCGAACAATCTTGGGATCGGCGAAAGAGAAAACGCAGATGACGGGATGATCGGGTATTATCCCATGGTGAGCTGCCATAACGGCGGAGCGGTAGAATGCCGATTTGAAGAACCATGGTGGATTGGTCCGCCGATACAGGATTTCCCAGATGCTAAGCCGTTCGGGGAGAGATTCAATGATCAAATCGTGGAGGATGTGGTGGCTGATATTGTGGATGAGATTGAAGCTATGTTTATGGGCTGGAGTGTAACCGAAGCTTTGGCTGGGTTGAAGAATATCGCTGGAGGTGGAACAGGAAATGGTACCGCGCCTGGCAGTGCGACGGGAACGCCGAGAGCGCAGTCTGTGGCGGGCGATATCCGAATGCAAATAGATGGAGCTGGTGGGACACCAGCTCCGGTGGATAGTTGAAAGGGCATAGAGTATAGCGAGTAGCATAAAATTCCCGACTATGCTCAATATCCTTTCCAAAGGCCACGAAAAGCCATATTGATGGGACCGAGAGATACAAAAAGTCATGAGAAGCGGATGCTATGGAGCCACGGGAGGTATCTGTACTTGCAAACCCGTGCATATTTCATAGCCTCGTCAAATTAATATGGTCCATTCATATTTTTTAAGGAACTAGGAAAAGGACGCCGATGCACATCAAGCGCTCTAAAATCAGAGCTATACCAAAATGCTAAGCACAGTAAAACCAAGACCAAACCCTTGTTGCCGAGTATTACTCGAGATAAATGTATTCACATGGTCATATCCATTGTATCATCTCCCCCATTATTTTGTTGCTGCAATTCTGGAGCCATGACGCCCCTCCCTCTGCCTGCTAACAGCTCTCGTCTCACCTCTGGTCCAATGTCTTTATGTCCTGCAACAAGCAGTAGGTCTAATAGTGCCTCGCGCTGGTCCTCTGTGATATCATTTCTATACCTTTGGGCAAAGACGAGGAGAGACTGGTGCCATAAAACGGGTAATTTGTGTGCTTTGGCTGCCGAGGGATCGTTCATATCTGTGTCGCCATTGGTATCCTGTGGCTGGACGGCACGGAAACGGAGGAAGTGAAATACGAGAGCGTCAATTACTTTATATGGTAGGGCATATTTCTTCTGCAGAAATACGCGAATAAAAATATTTGTAGCGCCTGTTCCCTCAGATGTGAGTGATGTAGAGGTTTGCTCTGCTGAAATTTCGCAAAGACGAAGGAGTGCGGCGGCGGAGTGAAGGACGGGAATGGACACGCGAGCAATCACACTGGATACAATATGGGCTTCCCTTAGGGTGCACGTGCCTCCGGCGACAAGTGGGAAGAGAAACCCCTTGAAGAAACAAGCAGGTTTGTAGAGAGCTTTCTTGAGTGCGTTATAGATGTGCACATGGAGCTTTTTGTTTTCACGGATTTCTTCCCGTACTCGGTCCAAAAGCACAACGGAGATAAAATGCTGTGCGATGTGCGGTTTGGCAGATATGAAAATCCGAGTCGCTGCGTATATCGAGTTTGAAGTCCACTTGTCAGGTTGTGTAATGTCGAGCAATGTATCCCAGTGAGGTAACGTGGGCAGGATTTTGAAGGGTTTCGGGAGAGGGCCGGATTTATATCGTGAAAGGAGGAAGCCGACTCTAAATACCGTTGGTTAATACAACGACATGGGCTACGAAGAGTTAGATAAGGTTCATACGTACTTTTCATATACTTCTACTGCTTTGGCTGGCAGCTGCACGGCATCTTCCGGCAAACCTCCACCAATTATCTGTGGCTGACCCGATTGTTTTGCCTCGTATGCAGCGATCTTTTCTAAGATAAGATCTGCTAAATTCGTGCCCTCCCCTTCTTCCTCCTCACCAGGCTGTCTAGGGTTAAAAATAGGATCTTCATCGTCGCGGCCAACGAACTTGTGGAACATCTCAAGGTCATTCGGATCAACTTCCTAGAAAACACAATTATCGTCAGCCTTTTCCACCCTATAGAAAAAAAAATGAGACCCGCGGGTTGATAAAACCGGAGAATAACGTACAACCTCTTCTACCTCTCCCTCATCTTCCCACTGGTCCTCTTCTTCCCCGAACTTTCCAAACTCTTCTTCATCGGAACCTTCCTCAAGCTCTCTTCCAAATCGCGACTCAAAATCGAACGCTGAATTAGTAGCAGCAGGGCGTCTAGCTGCAGCCGCGGCGCGCTCTTCGGCAGCTTCTTCCTCAGCTAAATCCTGACCGATCTGGAGAATCTTCCTGGAGGATTTGGCGTCGATATAGTGATCATCGGCTTCAGCATCGTCGTCATGTCGAGATTTGCGCTTGTTAGCTTTTTTGGTGCGGAGATGGCCCGCATTAAGAATATCATCGGCGAGGGGAACATGTCGCCGCTCAGCGGCCGCGGTCGACGGCCGCGCAGCTGTTGTCCGAGGCATAGATATGGAAATCTCGTAGCTGGATTGGGCGTATTTTTTGATATAGGGTGCTCCTTATCGCATTAGTATCGGAAGTGACTCTTAGTATCAGGAGATTTGTGGTTTTGCTGCAGCAGATTCTGCGTAAGAAAACAGCAACGTTATGAATTCCTGACTTGTTTTATTTCACCCCTGTGTTAGGCGGCGCTGTGATTCGAATCTACAGAATTTCAGGTGGGATTGATAAACATTTTTGCGATGTGTGATAAGTGATTCCCAAATAGGATTAGCGCCATCGTTATCTGATCTCCACTAAGCTCCGCGAAAAAAATGCGCCAGCGAAACAAGGTAGGCAAACACTGAACTGCACCTCAAGGGGGATTTAAGTTATGGTGGTGTATTGATAGAACGCTGACTAGGAGAAATACAGGTTGCAAACCCAACTCCAACCATCCTTTGCATCTTTTATTGTTCCCGCAATCTAAACACAATCTGAAGCCATCAAAAACAACGCGATATGGGGGAAAAAAGGACCCAAATCATCCGTATAGTACCGTCTGGGAGCTCAAGAAGCATTCGTAGAGTCGAAATAACTTTTATACCGAGTAGTCGTGAATCGCAGTGGGCCCTGCATCATTGTACTCAACACGACTCAGGAATCCTTTTGTCAAACCCTGGTCAATGACGAATATAACTTTTGCAGCGACCTGCGCTCCCAAGAATGTTGCCTCCTCCATACCAACGTTGTTAGAGCTAGTCGCTACACCCGTTACAGCTCCTCCAGAAGCAGAGACGTTATTTGCTGCCATTGACGCCGCGGAGCTCCCACCACTTCCTTGATCTTTCCATTCCGGAAAGTACTCCGGTGGTCTGAGAAGTTTGACGGAAGTCGGGGTTTGGGAATGCCCTGTTGACCTGTGGTGCGCAGAAGCGTTCGGGTCTGCGGGGTTGTTCATACTTGGATTTAGGTGATTAGGGGCAATCGGGTTATTTGCGTGAGTAGCAGCAACAAGAAGAGGGTTTACTCCATGGGCAGCGGGGTGTAGGAGTGGACTAGGGTTCGGCTGGTGTGCGGGGGTATTTGTGCCTCCTGTGGGAAGAGGAGTGGAGAGTGCAGAGGGGATTTCGGAAGTGAATATGGTGCCTGAAGGCGATAGCACGTATTTCTGCGTTATTGTGGAAACAAGTGCTTGGGGGAATCCTGTAGCGTAGGGTTAGCATTCATGTTGCTCATTGAGACCCGCTAATAAATGCGCTGAGTTTGTTGGGGGGAGGCAATACAAACCTCGTATTTTGCTTCCATTTCCAAGGATGATCATGGAATCCCATAATTCGCTTCGCTTCGACGTGTCGGAGACAGAATGAATTGTATGATGTATCTGCGCCGCGAGCGTGTCGAGAATGCTATAGGAGCCGTGTTCGCTAGCCTTGGTGTCGCTTGGAGTTGTAGCCAAGAACCTTTCAGTCCCGACTTCAACGTCTCGTTTGTGTAAAACGAACTGCTTTGTTTTCTGGCCACTCTCGTCTCTGGATTCAACGGGTTTGTACTCTTGAAATTGGAAAGTCGCCTTCTCTTTTTTGGAATTCGGAAGGCGCACTTGTTTCGTAGTGGCACTTGGATCTCCGTGTCCTTTACGGGTAGCGGCTTTCTCTGCCTTTTCTCTCTCTCTTTTTGCCAGGTACTCACTCGTATTCCCACTCACGATGGCAGCCACATCGAGAATACCCTCATCATCTTCAGCATCACCATTGCCAACATTTCGAGCGATATCCGGGCCCTTTCCAGGAGCAGACGGTGGCGGAGCTTTGGCCGGTTCCCGGTCCTGTCCACTTGTCGGCAGGGGAGTCCCGGTTGGAAGAATTTCGCATATATTGCTCCTTTTTAGCTGCTCACACATTTCTCGAGTAAACCCTTGGGACTGCAGCAACTCAAAAAGGCGGCTAGTCATGGCATCGCCACCGCAGCCTGGTAATGCGATTCCCCTTCCATATTCGCTGGCCATGAAATCTGTAACAGCAGTCACATCCGCCTTTTCGTGACCAATATCAACAACCGTGGCATTCGGGGTTCCATAGGCATAGCATACAGCCACGGCAGAATCCATCAAGCAAAATGCCGGCGTCTTAAACTTTTCAAATATAAACTGTGTGAGTGTCTCACGGTCGCGTAGGGTCCAGACCGGCTCCGCGATGAGCATAATCGGAGTATGGAATGGAGGGCTCAGCGTATTATAGATATGTGTTAACAAGGCGAAAAAGCACGTCCAATCGACAACGGCACCACCGCGTATGGGGTAGACGGCTCCTTCATCTGATGTTGGATCCTCTTCGTAAACGACTTGCTCTTCCTCCACCTCCACTAGTTCGGGCCGCGTGTCCTGTTCCTTTGCTGGTTGTTGCACACCGTCGGCGGCATCTTTCATTTCGGTATCTTCTGATTTCTCGGCGGCATTGGAGGTTCCTGTAGTAGGAGCGGTGGCATCATTGCGAGTGGCGGAGTCCTTAGGGATAGTCTTTTTAACGGTGATAACCTTTTGACGTATCTTAAATGGCTCCCATTCTCCCTTCTTTTCAGCTGGAAACATGCGAGTCGGAAAACGAAACTTCGCCGGCGTGAACGAGTCCGGAAGCCCCAATTGCGCCAGGGTAGTTTGCGACCCTGGCGCAATAATCTAGAACAAATGCGATTGTTAGCGGTCTGTACGTGAGAACCAGGTAGTGTCAACAGCTAGGAATCCATCCAGGGGAGGCGCATCCATTCCATCCTTACCAGGATATGTTCATCTTTGAAAGACGGCATGTTGACGATCGATCACTAGAGAGGGCTTGCGGGTCATGGGCTGAAGCGCCTGCCAGAAACGCGTGGGAGATTCCTTATCTTCGGCTGACTAAGCGAATCCTCTGGCAACTTCGCCATCACGTCTGCCCAGAACTTCGGAGCTCTGCGTACGGAGTTCAATGGAGCAATTCAAGTGGTTATCATATCATAGGGATATATCCATGCTTGCGTCTTGTATGCCGCTGTCCTTCGAACGAACGGATTGAGGGGTTAAGAATTGGTCTGCGATGTACTCCGTACGGAGTGCAATTTTTATATACAGTTGACGGGAGCCCTGTAAATTTGGGTGATAGCTCTCTCCGTAAAATATGAAATTATGAGAAAGAAAGTAGAAAATCTAGTGCATCACGCATTAAAATCATGTCTCATAAGTCTCCATATAGAAAACCAAACCTATCGGCTGAAATGTGTTTGAAGTATCCCATGCCCATGCATAGCCCACGAAAGTCTCAAATCAAAACGCCATAGTTACCCATTCCTGGCATCTAGGACCTCGTATTAAAGTAATCGAAGCCAATGCCGAACGCCGCAAAGGGAAACCTCCAAGAACCTTTAACTACCTGCATGATATTTCTCACCAGCCGACCTGAAAAGCTCTTGCTGTAATTGATAAAGTTGTTCCTCAGACATCCCGCTCTGCTCGATTTTGTTTGTCCGCCTCTCGCGGGACTATAGATAAGTGACAAGGGTCAGTAAGATTCCATCCACTGTATGAAGAAAGAACTATCGTCATCCCTGCCACGCGGAAGCGAAAGTTTGAACGAACCTTCAACTGCTCTTTGTGCTCCTCCGCCACGGCCAATACATCGGGCACATAATCTCCAAATCCAAGATCCGTAAGCGCTTTCTCAATGTGTTCGCAAGCAATCGTCTTTTTGGCTTCCTTTTCGCTAATTTCATTTGCTTCGGACGAGATCAGAGTTATGAACTCGACACAGCACTCGATAAGAAGATCCCGCGCATCTTTGGCGAAGTTTTGCCCTGACGATGGGGGCAGGATCTCGGTTATGATCTTTTGAACCGTAGCTACATTCAAATCATAGCCGTCAGACTCAGAATGTAGATAAAGCTCAGGAAAAGGGAGAACTTCTTGGAAAATTGGACCTCGCGAGGAATAAATTACAGCGTTTATTGAGGACTGGGAGAAACCGCACCTTTAGGGAGTGAGAGGTCATCGTTACCTACACCTCCGTCAGTCACGTCGGCGCTTGACAGAAAAGAAATACCGGGATACTTGACTTACTGGTAAACTCTCTATCAGACATAGTGAATATGGATGGTCCGCAACCCAAATACTATATCGTCACACCAAAGGAATTACAAATACACCCAAGGATGACGAGCACATTCGCCTGCTATTTATGCCTCAGTACTCCGTAGCCAGCATGGGAGTCGATATCACGTGATTACGCGATAAGTCAAGCTCTGCTTAGTCAGTCAAGCAAACAACATAAACTAACTAAGTAAGTTAAGCTTTTTCGCGATGCCTTTAAATTCAACTTCCACAGAGAACTTCCAGCTTCTGTTTTTCTCTTGTTTCTTTTCCCAAGAAAACCCTCCGCCCAGGAATGTGAAATAACATGGCAGAAGCAGCAAACACCTTAATGACTCTGGTGTGATGTAAAATGTGAGTGAATCATTTCTTGTTTCCTATCTCCTTCCATCTTTCTACCATGATGAACCTTGTTGTCGCCCCTATCATACAGTGGGCACTGCCCATGTGGTGATTTACCTGTCCAAGCCAAACGGACTTTCTGATAATGCTCCCTTGTCATAACTTCTGCCTCTTACGCCGCTCTTTGGAGTTGAATCAATTCTGACTCAAGCCAAAACTTAGGTTCCTCTTCTCGTTTTGCATCCTGTAAATACATTGCTGTAAAAGGAATGTGCAAGCCTTCGTGGATTGTTTGATATGATGAACAAATGTTTGTCAATTATTCAATTCAAACACCGGAAGACTATATATTTGCCTGTTGCCTCATCGGCACAAGTCTTGGGGTGTCTTTTTATCGCGGATTCCCCGATGGATTTGAATTGACCCTGACAGCAGAGTATCATTCATAGCAACACTTGCTCTTTTACTTCCTTAAGTAGGTATGTCTTGCCATTATTACATTGTTCACTTCAGGATTCGAGTCCTGGCAAATGATGAAAAAAAACATCACTCCATGCTAAATATGAAGGTGCTCTTTGCATCTGATGCTTAGCTACATGTATCCATTTAACCTTTCGACTGATGCATTCTATGGCTCTAATATACGATACCTGCTGTATTTTGTAGTTCGTCGAGGATAATGCTAACCTCATCAATTGGTCCTTAGTTCCTTAGCGTCATGCATCATCCTGGTAATCCTTCAATTCTTCCGAATTCCAACTACTCGAGTCAGCTTTGATGGACTGCTACAGGAATAAACTGTACTTACGTTAGGAATTGGCCAGAGAGCTCGCGAGGGGCGCTAACCGCAAGCTTGGCAATTACGTGACCCGGCTTTTCGGGTGGCAGTAGCTTCCCTTCCTTGTGCGCAGTGATGAATCTCTGCCCATCATCGGGACCGAGTACATCTATATGTTCGGATCTTAGTTCTTCCTGCATCTGCGTGTCCACCATGCCTGGGCGGATCGCAATACAGGTGACTTCAGGCTCCTCCTTTGCTAAAGTAGCATTGAAATGGTTCATAGCAGCCTTGCTTGCGCCATAGAAGCCCCATCCGATTACAGCCGATGTAGCAGCGCCCGAGGAAGTGAAGATGATGTTTCCTCTTGATATGCGGATATGCGGAAGCGCTGCTTTGACCTGGCTGGCATTAGAAATCAGCTTAGTAGAATATATATTCCCTGCAACTTACAAATTCAACCGCACTGAAAAAATTAATGTCAAACCCTTTCTTCCATGCTTCCATATCAGACTCTACCACTTTAGTCACGGGAGCCACGACCCCGTGGTTGACAATTAGGCCATCTATCCTGCCAAAGGCCGTAAGAGCTGCCTTGACCGCTTTGTCGGCTATGCCGCGCTCCGTCGCGTCGCCGCACACAATCTCAACTTGCCGCCCATACTGCTCCTTGAGCTTCAAGAGCGGTTGCTCGGAGCGAGCAATCGCTACAACATTGCTGGACAGCGGCGAACTCAAGAGGCAACGAGCAATTTCCCACCCGATTCCTGTAATGCCATTGATTAGAACTACATGAAACCATTTTTCCTAGCCGGGACAAGTGCTCTAAAACTCGCCTCGGGAAGCTCCAGTAAGAATAATAGTCCGGCCAGTTGCAAATTTCATTTTGAGAACGTTCGCGTGTTGATTGGTGTGAGAAGCTGCATCACGGCGCACGGTGAACCCCTCGAGGGGTTGGAGTTCCGGGACCTGGAGGCGCGCTAAGCCATCTAGGGTTTAGTAGTTAAACTCGCCTTGGGATCTGCCACAGAAGTTGCTTGGATGGCTCCGCGATGCATCTACGTCGCACATCTCACTTTTGTTGCTTCAATGTGCTCCTTAATATGCTGTGTAGTTTGGAATATTGGAGACTTAACAGGGTGTGACTAATTTGCACATACGATAAAGGGCTACACTGGCTCAAATTTGAGGTTAATCACCGATGACCCTACAATAGTGCAGAGAAGAATAACGTGATTCGATACCTATGACTCCACAGATAGCATGTTTGCCAATGGGTCTCAAGACTTGATATGCCAATATACTCCCAAGCTCCTAGACAGGGTTACGGTTTTTATGGCCGGGGCATTACCAACCCTGATCAGGAGTCTGGTTCCTGCACCGTATCTCCCTGGAGCCATTTGCGCTGAAAATTAGTGCACCAACCGACACCTAGATAAGTTGCGAGCAACCATTGTTATTCTCCATGGATAGAGTTTGATGATCAGTTGCTGGCCAGTAAAGCGTCGAACAGGAAGCGGGATTAAAACCCCAAACACAAAATATTGCCAGCATTTAACGCACATTTAGCCGTCTCGGTTCATCCGTCAATGATATCTATAGCCCTTTTTACAGATCGGAGTACGGAGTAGAACAAAGCGGAATGAAAGTCCTGGAGCATTGTTCCATACCCACTTCCCCCCACGGAACGGCCGCGTGGCCTAATGGTTAAGGCGCTGGTTTTCGGTTACTGAACCCACCAGCGATTCTGCGTTCGAATCGCAGCGTGGTCGGAAATTTTGAGAATCTTTTTTTTTACCCACCATATCTTGGGACAGTTCAAGCCAAGTTAGGCTTTTCCTGCTTCTGCCAAACAGTGATTCCTGACCTAGGGAAGAGAGGTGTTAGCTTACGTACCGTATATTTTCAAAGCTTGATAATTTTCGATTCCGGTTCGCAAAATGGAAAGCCGACATCGGTGGAAGTTTTCCGCCGGGTCAACTCCCCGCACCAACTTTTCACCCTGATATTCCCCACGCGCGGGGACAGCCAGATGCTGTGCTGGTCGCCGTTGACCAAAGGGCGCAACGGAAAAGCTTCTAGACCCCCCATTGTGCAACCTTTGTCCGCCATTATCCATTCATTTCCACGGGAATTGACTCTCTAAGTGGAACCATTTATCGAGCTTGACTGAGACCTGCGCTAGCCAGAATTCTTATCAGTCGAACGACTGGATAGCTGGGCTTTTATCATGCACGGTAATGACACTTGTACGTCAGTTGACCAAGGTCAAAGCAGATGATTTTCTGCTGCGCGTTTCCCTTGGTTCTGAGCCCGTTGCTATATATTGCTGAGAACACTCTGGGCTTTTGCACTTGATTGATGGTCAGAGAGGACTCGCATTCTCAAACGGAAAGTGATCAATTGAAGACTTCTGTTGAATAAACGCGGTCATGTCAACAGTCATTGTTGGCGGAGGGATAATTGGTGTCTCAACTGCGTATTACCTTTCAGACCCTCAGAGATCGCCAAGGCCGAAAGAGATTCACATTATCGACTCTTCCGCGGAACTGTTCGCCTCTGCATCTGGTTTTGCCGCAGGGTTCATCGCCAAAGATTGGTTCTCGCCCGAAATTGCACCACTGGGCGAATTGTCGTTTAATCTACATCGTCAGCTTGCGGAAGATAATCAGGGAGCTGAAAGATGGGGTTATATGACGAGCTCTGCACTCAGTTTGCAGGTTGTTGGAAAAGATGGGCAAAAGACTAAACGAGGAGATGATTGGCTCCGCCGCGGCGCAAGCAGAGCGGAGGTAGCAGTAAGAGACGAAGCAGCTGCTGACGATGGCGTGCCCTCTCCATTGTGGTTGACGGAACAAAGGGGGGGAACCATCGAAAAGATAAGTAACAATGGCAGCGTCGCTCAAGTGTCAGTTTACCTTAACTATGGCGGTTTCCGCACCGGAATATGAAGCTAATCTCGTAATATTAGTGATCCTCTACGGCTCTGCCAGTTTCTTATAAGAAAATGTCTCGAGAGAGGCGTTCGAGTTCATTATCCCGCCCACCCAGTCGCAATTTCCAAGAACGGTGCATCTGCAAAACTGATTCTGCAACGCCTTGACACAAAGGGAGAATTGAGTGTCCCATGCGAAAATCTTATTCTCACGGCTGGAGCGTGGACACCCAGGGTTTTCAAAACATTATTTCCGAAATCAAACACGAGAATCCCCGTTGGGGCTCTATCCGGTTATTCACTCGTGTTTCGGTCACCTCGGCATACCTTGGAGCACGAACGAGAGAGATACGGCGGCAAATGCCACGCCATCTTCACTACTCATCCGAAATCTTGTGGCTTCGCTCCAGAGATTTTCTCCCGCCATAACGCTGAGATTTACATCGCCGGCTTGAATAGCCTCGATGTTCCGCTCCCTGAGGTGGCGACAGACTCACACAAGATTATGGAAAAGGAGAAGTCAGACAGAGTAAAACGGACGGCGGTGATGTTGATGGGGCGGGCCAATCCTGGTATCGCTGCCAACCTGCAGAGCGAGGCAGACAATATCAATGATCTTGAAGTCGTACGAGAAGCTCTCTGTTTCCGTCCCTGGACAGAGAGTGGAAGGCCGATCATTGGTAGAATTGAGGATAAGCAGCTCGACTCCAATGTTAGGTTCCCTGGGAATGTTTTCATTGCTACGGGCCATGGTCCCTGGGGGATTGCGCTCTCGCTAGGGACAGGGAAGGTTGTTTCAGACATGGTGACTGGCAAAAGAGCAAGTGCAGATGTTGGACAGTTAGGCCTTAATGCAGAGGCCGGGCTGATCTCTAGTCGCCTATAACCAGGAGTTCGTACCGCCTGCCTTCGGTGTGTTTTCACGGACGGCAACACTTGGTGCTCTTTGAACCCAATAATCTAATCTCAGTATCATCGGTCATAATGAACATAATGAAATAGAATTATTCAATAGACATGTCCATCGATCTCACATCTTTCTTCACACAGTCCCTGGGCAGCAGTGTTGCGCTTCCAAGTTGAATACTCCGCATGGAGTTCAAGCTACACGAAAGTTGAGGGGCAACCGGATCGCGTCGCAACGTGTTGTTAGATTGATTTAAAGTTCCAGCATGAAGTGAACTTCTCACGTCTGACGGAAAACCATCATAGCTCAACGCTCAACTTCGACCACATTAGCCAGACTCATTGAGGGTATTATACGAGAAACAATTGAATACTGCATCCATGCCAGTCGCTGGAGATGAAAATTATGATAACAGCCATCGGGCATTTTTGCAGGCTTTGATGGCTCGATCCACCATGACTCTTAACGAAGCAAAGCCTATTTTAGCAGCTATCCTCTCTGTCAAAGGTATGGCAGTTATTTATTTATTTATTTATTTTAATGTTTTAGATGTTTCCGTTGACAATGTATCCCACATCATCTAACATTCGTTTATGTAGACGGCCGAGAAGTACTACCGGGAGATGTCACCCAAGCCGATCTATCAAATTACATTTCCTCAATTAACACTGCTATTTCACCTTTCGACTTCGAGATTCGTAATTCAGTGCATCAGACGAATCATACTCGAGTCTATGCTCTAGTTAACACCACCAGTGATCCTCTCATGCAGCTTGCGACCACCTACACGGCGGATGAAATCGCGTACGTGAAGCGACTTCTCGACGCCATGTTTGAGACAAATAACACATTACGCGAGGAAGCTATGGTAGTGTCCGCTATCAAGGCTGTGCAATTGGCAAAAGTTTCCAACAATAATAGTCGGCGAGAATCTCAGAGTGCAACACAGGGAGGCAATGCGCAGCCATTGAGTATGAGGGAAGCAGAAGATATGTTGCAGAGATTAGTCGACGAAGGGTGGTTTGAAAAGAGCCGCAAGGGCAATTATTCCTTGACACCACGCGCACTGATGGAGCTGCGAACATGGCTCATTGAATCTTATAATGATGATGTGGATGAAGACGAACAGGATAATGGACGAAGGCATGACAAAATAAAGTTTTGCTTTGCCTGCAAGGATTTGATAACTGTGGTAGGTTTTATATCATTATCAGGCGGCAGGCAATAGTCTGCGGGTTCAAATAGTTAAATTGGCGACTAATTTTACCATAGGGCCAACGGTGTTCTCAGCGTCAATGTCCAGCACGCTTACACAATATGTGTGTTCAAAATTTCTTTCGCCTGCAGAGAGCCGAAACCTGCCCTCTTTGCAAAACCAATTGGACAGAGAATAATTTTGTTGGCGAACGTGCTCTGTCTAACCAGGCCTCGCGAGGTGCGGCCGGTGCTGCACCGCGTACCTCCCTGCGGACATCAACACAAATGGATATCGAACCCAATGCAGGTGGTTTTGAATAATCAAGAGTCACCTCTATGGGTGGCAAGCTCTCGCCACCGTTTGCGCCCTTTCTCATATAAAGATTGGGTGTGCTTTACCCATTTCCAGATAAAATCCCCCGTCACCCTTTTACCCGAGAATCGACAGGTAGGTCTACTATATATCCCACGCTCCACGCTGTGCTGTAGAAATTACTAGCCTGGATTCGAACGTGGCTTTGCGCCCGTAGTTCGAGTTTACACTTTATTGCATACGACCGCCATCTAACGATGAATTATGGGTTCGGGTTAGAACCTCCATCGTACCACGTGCTACTTGTAATGCATCATTCAAGAGCACCAGAACATAAATTTGAGGTCGCAAGTGTTGTCTCTACATGGAGATATTCATTGATGTGAATAGCATTCATGTACAGCTACATCGTGACGTTTGGGTCCCGGTTTATCGACACCAGACCTAGGAACGGACTTGCTTGCTTCGTTGTTGGCTATCGAGCGATGGATTTTGTTCCTCCTGTCCGTGGGGCATCAAAACATCCCCATGTTAGAGATAATATAGATTTCGCTACATTATCTGTTATCACGCCAAGCATTATTCCGGGAGCTATTCCAAAGTTTTCGAAAGAAATTAGACGACCAAGTCTTAAGGCATTCCCATCTTCACGCTACATGCGGCATCAGCTAGGCAGCTTGGAGAGTTTTAGTTTATGCGTAACCGAGCAACGGTCTCTAGAAAAGTGCTCGAAGCGAAAAGCCCCTATCTCCCACATAAACACACAAAGTGTTGGTGCAGGCATTCAACCAGTCCCTTAAATAATGCTAATGTTGAATATTTATAAATGCAACCTTTAATCTACTTTTTCCTCTTCTCACGGCAGCCTGTTCATCTCAGGGACTAAACTGATGGCCCAGCTCGTGCCAGAAGTTTTCTCGATCAAAACCATCTTCACCAGAAGAAAGAGCTCTGGGCTTGAGGCTACGTGATCCACTGAAACTTTTTGCACGCCGGATGCCGATAAAAGCTGCGGTTCTGCATTCTATAAGTGGAAGTGACATGTTTAAAGAGCGAGCCTTGGTACCAGCTACTCCTACACTGGATAAAGGTCTCGGCACCTCCCAGCCATGCACGAGATTCTCGATCAAAACCATCTTCACCAGAAGAAAGAGCTCTGGGCTTGAGGCTACGTGATCCACTGAAACTTTTTGCACGCCGGATGCCGATAAAAGCTGCGGTTCTGCATTCTATAAGTGGAAGTGACATGTTTAAAGAGCGAGCCTTGGTACCAGCTACTCCTACACTGGATAAAGGTCTCGGCACCTCCCAGCCATGCACGAGATTCTCGATCAAAACCATCTTCACCAGAAGAAAGAGCTCTGGGCTTGAGGCTACGTGATCCACTGAAACTTTTTGCACGCCGGATGCCGATAAAAGCTGCGGTTCTGCATTCTATAAGTGGAAGTGACATGTTTAAAGAGCGAGCCTTGGTACCAGCTACTCCTACACTGGATAAAGGTCTCGGCACCTCCCAGCCATGCACGAGATCCGTGACCATGTCCTGAACAAGATTATGAGTTGTAAGTCATATGACGGATTCTCAATTGATGGTGTTCCGGGAGAAGTTCAGTGGATTATCGTCGGTAGACTCTGATGATGGCCTTGAAGTGTGATATACGTCTACCAGCGAGGAGTTGTTGCACTCCGTTTGCAGTGCACTGTAACCGATAGGGAACATAAGGAGATATCTCTAAATTCGATGACCATCACAACATCAGAGGGAGTAACCTATATCCATCGATTTATCAGATAACCGACCCCAAGGTATGGCCGAGAACCTGCATCAGTCGCCTGTTCGCCTTGTACCTTGAAGAGACGGTGTTGGTATTCACCTAATAACCACTTGGTATGAAAGTTGGATGCTGCGCCAATCATGTGCGCTCGCGATGCCTTCAGGCGCTGCTTCTGGACCGAGCAGACTTTCATATTTGACTTCCCCCCTGACTCAATCCAAGCACTCTTTAGGTCCCGTGAATCAGCCAGCATGTAGTGCTGGTCCGAGTTCAGTTAAAATTAACTTGTTGAACTCATATCTCCTCTGGCATTTGAAGGCATGGAGGATATGGCCCAGCTTCCTGCTGATTTACAGGTTTGTTTCGAGCTTCTTTCTCTCTGGTTGACTGGAGATCCTTCGAGACCGACAGCAGCCTCTTGCGTCACCAGCTCTTGGCTGTTCCTTGGCACCAGACAACCTTATTCCAACGAGGTTTCTCCAGACTTGAAGCGCCTAGCGTCCGTGGTACAACGTTCGGCTTTAGGGGGGAGGGCATTTGCAGAGAGCAGATTTTTCTTTCTTGTTGGATGGGTGCTTGCCTGCGTCAAAGCATGAAGATGTCCACACTCTTGAGTGAAGTTAAGCTCCCCATTGATGCCGATCACCGCGCACGATGACAGGTGCCATGGATTATCACACTGCAAGTGCAGGGGAAGGGCGCGCTCTCCCGTGTGGCTCGGAGCTCTCGAACATGCTCCCCGCTTTTCAGGCCGTTCAACCAGCGATGTGCCGATGACCCATAATGGATTGGAAAATGTACATACATTCTCCGACCAGTACCATGGACCCTCGACCCACCTGGAGAAAAAAAAAATTATTAAAAGCATTCTCACAGAACCTTTCGGCGTGGCCGTCCGCAACAATAATATCGATCAATCGATCACTGCTGTCCACGAGGTTGAGCATCCCTCGTGGCCGAGGGTCGTACAATCCATGCTGATATTCCGGGCGAGCACACATAATCAACCCGCACCCCCACTCACAGCTTCGACATCCGGAAGACAGCTGGTCCCTTTTCATGGCGTAGCAACACGAGGTAGTATTGTGGTTTCTTCCTTGGAAGGCTCTGTCGAAGTTCTCCGTTCTTTCGCGCGCTATTTTAGATCTCACGCTCAACAAAGCGGATGTGATGATAGATATACCGCTGGTTACAACATTTTGCCCAAGAATTTTTAAACGAAACCCTCGCCTTGTCATCACATCTCTGGCTGAATTTTTCATAGACCGGCAACTGGGGCGTCCCTGTGCCGGGTTATTGGAACGGGTGCTGAAAGTATCCTTCAGTATTATGCATATAATTTCTGCCAGAAATTGCACGTTGCTTGTGATACAGAATTTGTGATACCCTTGTTGTTTAGATCGAAAATCGGATGTTCCTAGAATGGTGCTTTGAAGGACTAATAGCACTTTGGGGTCAACTATCGCAATAATGTTTGCAAATGTAAGTTTAAGGAGGATTCCATTCCCAGGATGCTGACAGGCTAATCTACAACAGACTCTCTGTGCTGGTCTCCTTTTCACTGGCCAGGTTCTTGGTGTTGCTCATTCCCATGGTTCCAAGGCTTCGAAGATATTAGACCGCAATATTCTATCCCAACGTTTAGACAAGCGGGAATCGAATATCCAGGCTCCCCTCTACCCGACAAAATTCAGTGGGGTAACCTGGGACAATACAAACTGGAGGTTAACGACAACGGTCCTTGACCAAGGTCACTATCAATCCCGTGGCTCGATCGCAAACGGTTACTTGGGTATCAGCGTTGCCGCAGTGGGACCTTTTTTTGAGCTGGACGTGCCAGTCAACGGCGACGTGATCAATGGATGGCCTCTTTTCTCTCGACGGCAGACTTTTGCGACGATTTCCGGATTTCATGACCTACAACCCGAAACAAATGGTACTAACTTCCCCTGGATGAATCAATATGGAGGCGAAAGCGTCATCAGCGGCGTTCCACATTGGAGCGGAATGATCTTAGACCTCGGGCAGGACGGGTATCTGGATGCATCTGTGGAGAACAGTACAATTTCAGACTTTGTTTCCACGTTGGACATGAAGGCGGGGACTTTAACTTGGAAATATAAGTGGACTCCTGCGGGCCGTAATGACAGCTTTGATATCGCCTACCAGCTATTTGCCCATAAACTACACGTCAACCAAGCAGTCGTGCATATGGAGATCACCCCATCGACTAATATAGATGCGACAATCGTTAACATATTGGAGGGTTACTCTGCTGTTCGCACTCAATTTGCTGGTTCCGGAACTGACGGGCAGGCTATTTACTCGTCTGTCCGGCCTGACGGTATTAGCAACGTTACCGCCTATATCTATGCTCAAATGGCAGGCACAGATGAGGTAGACATGTCTACCCTCTCTCTTGTCACCGATAAGCCTTATATTCGGAGAAATGACTCGACAATTGCGCAGGCTGTGAGCGTCAGATTAAGAGCTGGGGTAACAACGGGGGTAACAAAATTTGTGGGAGCCGCTTCGACAGATGGATTTGCAGACCCTCGGCTGGTGGCCAAAGATTCTTGTGCCAAGGCACTGAACAATGGATTTGAAACGTCCCTAAGGTCCCATATCGGCGAATGGGCGATTGTGTTCCCGGATGATTCTGTTGATAATTTCTCTTTGCCGGACACAGGTCACTTGCCGCTGGACAATCACATTATAGAATCTGCGATAACAGCAGTAGCCAACCCTTATTACCTACTTCAGACGACAGTCAGTACGAATGCAAGGAAAGCTGTCAACGATGCCCCAATAAATAGAGGAAGTATGGCTGTTGGTGGATTGACTTCAGATTCTTACGCAGGACTTGTTTTTTGGGATGCAGATATCTGGATGCAGCCAGGATTTGTACCCGCGTTCCCCGAAGCGGCTCAGTCCTTTACCAACTACCGGGTTGATAAATACGGACAAGCTTTAGCAAATGCTCAGACCGCTTTCACTTCGTCAAAGAACCGGACGCATATCTCCCCGGATGCTGCTATTTATTCCTGGACCAGTGGGCGCTTCGGAAATTGCACGGGAACAGGTCCCTGTTTCGACTACCAATATCATCTCAATGGAGATATTGGGCTGCAGCTCATCAACAATTGGGTTACGACTGGAGATACGGAATATTTTAAGTCGGACCTTTTTCCTCTCTATAACTCGATCGCTACCCTATTTGCCGATGTCTTGGAGAGAAACGGATCGAAATGGACTCTTACGAACATGACGGATCCAGTATGAAATTTACAATACGAAATATTTACGTTTGATGTTTGCTAATCAAGCCTATTTCCAGGATGAATACGCTAATCACGTCGATGCTGGTGGCTTTACCATGCCGATGATTGCATCTACCCTGATATATGCGAACAGCTTTCGTCAAATGTTTGGACTTGAACAAAATCAGACATGGAATGATATGGCAGAGAACGTTCTTATATCTAGGGATCCTAGCTCTAGTATCACATTGGAATATACAACAATGAACGGGAGCACCCAGGTTAAGCAGGCAGATATCGTTCTTAATACTTTTCCTCTGCGGTATACCGAAAATTACTCGCCAGAGAATGCGCTACTAGATCTAGACTATGTATATAGTCCCTTTTTGGTGCTTATGTTCTTTTAGTGTTAAGATTCTAACAGAATCTGCAGTACGCCGCGAAGCAATCACCAGACGGTCCAGCCATGACATACGCGATTTTCTCCATCGTCGCAAACGAGGTATCTCCATCGGGCTGCTCCGCATACACCTATGCGCAATACTCGTTTAGCCCATACGTTCGAGCCCCTTTCTTCCAATTCTCGGAGCAGTTGGTTGATGACTGGTTAACCAACGGGGGCACTCATCCTGCTTTTCCATTTTTGACTGGAAAAGGCGGCGCGAATCAAGTTGTTCTGTTTGGATATCTCGGTTACCGCCTTCTGCCTGATTCCGTCCTTCACATCGATCCAAACCTACCTCCACAAATTCCGCATATTAATTATCGAACGTTCTATTGGCATGGTTGGCCGATTAAAGCTGAATCAAATTATACACATACGACAATCCGACGTGCGCAACATAGAACTGCCCTCCCAACGGCTGACCAACGCTTTGCAGATGCACCCATCCCGGTCCATGTCGGCCCCGAAAGCAATGTGACAGTATACTCCTTGCCACCGTCTGGAGATTTAGTTATTCAGAACCGTCAGATTGGCTCTATCGATACATTTCCTGGAAATCTCGTGCAGTGCCAACCCGTCAGCTCCCCACATGAATACTTACCTGGCCAATTCCCCATCGCTGCGGTTGACGGGGCGGCATCGACCAAATGGCAGCCCACCCGTGCCAATATGACGGCCTCACTTACCGTTACCTTCCCAGAGTCTGCGCTCTCCTCCAGCATTTCTGGATTTGGATTTGATTGGGCCCAAGCGCCTCCCCAAAATGCCAAAGTCCTGCTGCACGATTTTCCACTACCGCCCGTGTTAGATATCTTTGCTGAGAGCCCACCAGGCTCCATCGTTGTAGCTGATCTTTCTGAGATAGCCGTGTCCGATCCCTACAAGCCAAACGTGACGGACCTGAATAAAATTATGCGCTACAAGGGCAATACTACAAATGTCACTCTGAGTTCACCGGTGCCAGTGACGAAGTTCGCGACACTCCTGATTAGTGGGAACCAGGGTCTTGGGGATGCTGAGATTAAAGCCGGTAACGGTACTGGAGCCACTGTTGCGGAGTGGTCCATTCTGGGTGCTGGTGGTCTTGGCTCAAATGGCCGAGAGGACAAACCGGCCGTAAATAAGTTCAGAATTCGGGGTGTGCCTTGGACAAACAAGGTATAGGATAAAGGATCTGGATATGCTTGTTGCAGCGATTTAGTCCGATAGCCCACGTCACTGAGGATTGTCTCACTGATAGCTCTAAAGCAAAACTAGAAGATTATTACATAGATCTGCTGCATCCATGGTGTTTTAATGGTAGAGATTTTTTTTCATAAACGGTTGATATGCAGTCTATATGAAAAAGCTCTCTGATGGTTTATGTAGAACATGGTTTGGAGGTAAAGAGTTCACTTTTAACGGAACGGCGTTTTCTCGATGCTCCGACTGCGAGAGACGGCTAGTTAATTAATATTTATAACCCCGCACACGCACTGTAGGGAGTGGTTGACTAGTTACCAACCAGAGAGCTGCAAAACCACCAGCCGGAGTGATTGAACCAACTCTCGCCCACGGGTCAACCAATCAACCATCTCCATAAACCACCCTCTGACCTTAAAAGTAAGCTTAAAGGGTCTGACGAGGACTCTCCCCGCCGGAAACGAATGGCGCACGAATTCGAGCCCGCAGAAGCAAATCAGGTGCACCCTAAACCACCAGACCCTGCAATTCTGCATTCTTTGAAGTGCAGTGGGCAACTCAACGCCGATAGGGCGACGGGACAATGGATGTGGTCTAAATTAGTTATTTCCCCATCTCGGTTGAGCGGGCTCAGCGGAGATGGCTGAATTTAAATACAAATTTGCCGATCACCCGGTGGATTCGTTAAGAGAGGGCGGGTACTCCATACGGGGTACGCATTCATTTGCAGAAGCCAGAGAGCCTCTGGATACTGTGCTCCCTACCGTTCTGTTCTCTCCTGTCCTGTCCTGGTCTTCTGCACACGTGCAAGGCAGCTGTCGGTGTGGATGCTGGGAGACCGATTCCGATGCTTCCGATCTTCCTACGCACTCCACAGAGAATGGAACTATGGATTTGGGATTGCCATATATATGTGATTTGCACGCCACCCAGGCCCATTAGTTACTCGATTCCAGCAACAACGGTAACTCGTGAATTATTTATCTTGCCCCTCTTCCTCCCATATTCCCGTCGATTACTCCGTACATTGCTATTTTTGAGATATTTGGCCTCCTTGCCTGATGCGCTATCAAAATCTTAAAACTGAGTATAAGAACGTGGACCGAGGGGAGAGATTTCCTGCTTCGTCGCCTACGGTCGTCTCCCCAGTTGTCGGACTCAGTCTTTAAGGAGTGTTGCCATGAGAGTTCTCCTAGGTCTTTGCGCCTCTTTACTCTTATTGTATGGTGTCTCGGCCCGGGGGAAACCCAGGGACTGCGCCTTACTTGGCCCAGCATTTCCCCGTCCAACGGACTTGCCTTCAAGTCAAAGCTTCAAGAACGACCTAGATAGACTATCTCGGAAACTCGCAGAGGCGTTGGAATCGTCCACGATTAATGGAGCTGAGTCGTCGTTTTCTTTGAATATATTTACCGTCGAGGACGAAGCGCCGATCTGGGAGTACCATCATGTTGCGAGCCAGTTCAATGGAACCCTGCCGGCGGAGGGACTGGACGGAGACACAATATACCGCATAGCCAGCATTACCAAACTGCTCACTGTATATGTTTTGCTTATTGAGTCTGGATTTGAAGTACTCGATGAAAAGATCACAAAGTATATCCCGGAGCTTGCGGCTGTTCCGAAAGGGGTCGAGACCGACACCGTACAGTGGAACGATATTACTCTCGGAGCCCTAGCGACTCACCTGGCTGGGATTCTCCGTGCCGGTACCAATGAAATTGCCTGCTTTACGAAGTCATATTTTTCTAACACCGTATATAGCTACTTTCGGGGACCTGGCGCCCACCATTGAATCATCGCACATTCCCGAAGGGTCATTCCCTCCATTAGATGGAGAAGATGCATTGTCGTGTGGATATTCACCCCAAAATGCTCCATGCTCGAGAAAGGGTGAGTTATACCATATATTACATGGAATATGATTCGGATATCCACGTGCTTACTTTTGAACGGTAGCGCTGTTGGATGAAGTATTACTTCGCCATCCAGTTTATCCTCCTTTCAGCGCTCCTATTTACTCTAACACGGCGTTTACCCTCTTAGGCTTGGCCCTGGAACAGATCAAAGGTAAGCCACTAGAGGATATGATGAATGAATCTGTGTTCGTCCCGCTGGGCCTGTCGCGAACGAGTCTTCTCCAACCTAAAAATCACTCTTGGGGAATCGTCCCAGTGAGTCCTATGAGTTCCTTCTGGAACGTTTCTTTTGGGCTAGAGGCGCCGTAAGCTCATCCTTGGATTCCCAAATTCGTATGTTCGGCAGCTAATTCAGTCCCAGGGGGATCAATGCTTATTCTACGGCTAATGATCTATCTCGGTTGGGCCGGGCCATTCTAAACGCTACTCTGCTCTCCGCAACTGACACGCGTCGTTGGATGAAACCGATGACGCACACTGGGTCGACTTCTTACTCAGTGGGTGCTCCGTGGGAGATTTTTCGTGTCGATTCTCCTCGCGTGATCGACATGTACTCGAAGAGTGGGAGTGTTGGATCCTACAAGTCTCTCCTCTTTTTACTGCCGGATCACAATGTGGGTTTCACCATCCTAGTTGCGGCTCCCGGCCCAAGCCCACTCTATCCCATTGCCTCGGTTATGACATCACAATTGATTCCTGCCTTGGAGAAGGAAGCTAGGAGACAGGCGCAGATGAACTTTGCAGGGACATATCGCGCCTCTGGCGTGAATTCATCAATCATCCTGGACGCAAATGACAAACACCATGGAATTGGCATTTCTAGCTGGAATAGTAATGGTACGGATGCCATTGAAATATTGAAAACCCTTGCTGGCTCCAGAAACTCTTCGGACACTGCAAGAGTCCGTTTGTTTCCGACACAGCTCACGAGGGATTCGATATGCCCTGGATCCCGGAAAAGTTGCACCGATGTTTCGTTCCGATTGGTAGTAGAAGTCGTACCAGCGGATGCCGATAATACAGGATACGAGGGAATGTTCTCGCGCAGGTGTGACCACTGGGTGCTCTTAGACGGACTATTATATAGCCACATCAGCATCGATGAGGTTATGATTACGGTCGAAAAAGTATCCGGGAGGGCCGTCGCTGTTGAACCGCGAGCATGGAGGTTCAGGATGGATAAGATTGAAGGGCCGGTTCTGTCAGTATATGAGCAGTCATTTCCTGAAAACGCCTTCAAATCGCAAGGAGTGATGTCTTCTTGGGTTGTAAGAAAGCTTCGCCATTGCTTGACTCTGTGGCTGTGATACTTGGCGAAGTTAATCGGTGCGTTGATGAACGCAAAGAGATTTCTATGTGTTTGTACGAAGGGATATGATCATCCATTAATTTCTTTTTTTTTTTTTTTATTTTAGGATGAATAGATATGGAAATGATCTAAGGAGTAGGGAATATCTAGCATTGGAACACTCAGTCCAACATCGCTTGCTCTCATGGGCCATCTCCAACTTGAGTTTCTTCCACATCAACAATATCTAAGGTTTTAACAAGAGTCAAAGCTTCTACTGACACTAGTCCCTTGGATATTAGCTACAATGTCAAATATAAGAGCCCTTACATTCTTGTGCATACACTTTTAGATTCATGGATAGGATTTACCTTCCCATCCTGCAGATCCTAGCTTTGTCTTGAAGACGAATCTTAACACAGCTCGGATTGTAACACGCTCGGTCCTGATGATGTTTGGGTGTTTATACCCAGGTGTTTTCCTCTGCTGCTCAAGCACCTGCTGATGCATCTTCATGGCCTCATCATATGTTCCTAGTAAATGAAGTGTACCTGCCATGGAGATTCTAGTTCCCAACACATGTGGATTGTTCAGGGCCAAATAACTTAGTCTGTAACTGCTGCTGAAAAGTATCCAGTGGCTTTTCAGGAATGTCGATCTGACCAAACTCCTCTACAAAGTATCCTTGTGAGACGTGTATCCCTGGAACTGTTACTGTAACTGATTTTTGGTGGAAGCTTGGGATGACATCATAACCGGGATCACACGGCCGGACCTCGGCCAAACAATAATGCACTCCGACGTCAGCTTGCATTTTTGGTGCACATCAACCAAGCCTGTCAGACAACAACCGCCGATTGTTGCTTCAGTTGAATGGTTGTGGATTGAGAGTGCTTCATTGGTGACTCAGGATGATATCAGTGAGGCCTGCTGTTCGCCTGCCTTTGGGTCGGCAGGTGCTGTCGTGCTCCCGGAACTCCCCCATCACAGTCAACTTCGACCGACGACGATACATCTCTGCTTTCGGGTATACGCAGTCCAAAGCCCTTGTATTTTCTAAATTCGGTGAACCAAAGGATGTTCTCAGGTTTGTCTACATGCTTTAATATTTTGTTCTTGCCAATTGAGGTCGTGGTTGACGGCTATTCGCGCAGCCTACACTCGTACTCCATCTCCCCGCCCCACGATACTCAATGCACAGTCCGCCTCCTCACAGCTCCCCTAAATCCCGCCGATATTAACCAAATTCAAGGAGTTTACCCTACCAAACCACGTTTTACCACAGAGCTTGGCACGCCGGAGCCACATGCGGTTCCTGGCAACGAAGGAGCCTTCGAAGTCCTTTCCACTGGTGCGGGTGTAAAAAATATCAAGAAAGGAGACTGGGTTATTATGAAACGCACAGGAATGGGGACATGGCGCACACACGCCCAGTTTGATGAATCAGAGCTCCTCAAGGTCGATAACACTGGATTAACACCCTTACAAGTGGGTACTGTTGGTGTGAATCCTGTCACTGCTTACCGGATGATTAAAGACTTCTGCGAGTGGGATTGGATGCGTAGTGGTGAGGAGTGGCTTATTCAAAATGGCGCAAACTCTGGTGTCGGACGGGCAGTGATCCAACTAGCGCGTGAATGGGGTATCAAAACAATAAACGTGGTTCGCGAAAGAAAAACAGAGGCCGAGACCGAAGCTCTAAAGGATGATCTTCGGTCCCTTGGAGCAACAGTCGTTATTACCGAGTCAGAGCTTCTTTCTTCTTCTAAGCTGCGTGAGATAACCCAAGAGGTAACCCGGAAGGGTAAGGAGCCTATCCGTCTCGCGTTGAACTGCGTAGGGGGTGATAGTGCCACCGCTCTTGCTAAAGTCCTAGCGCCAAACTCGCGAGT